TCGGAATGAGCTCAAACTTTCTACAAAGCATAAGGACACCAATATGTATCAAAAAATGTAATAAAAATTAGAGGTAATTTTGGAGCTATTTTTTTGAAAAAATCATGGGCTATAGCCTTGGGTATATGAAAAATTGAAGTTGAAATCAGCTCAAACTTTTTACACATAAGCATAAGGACACCAATATGTATCAGAAAATTTAATAAAAATTTGATGTGATTCTAGCGCCATTGAAAAAAACCCACAGGCAATATAGCTATTGCTTCTTTTCAAAAATTGGCATATTTTAAAAATACTCATTACTCAAAAAATATATGTATCAGAAAATGGGGGGAACATGGTGGTTTCATACCACATACATGTACCAACATCTTTTGTTAAGACCAACCATTCTTCAGTTATTTACTGGGCACAGATATTATACATGTAAGTGTGGCTGCATAAAAGCAACTTTAAAAATTCACTAAACAATATGCCAAAAATCTTGTATAGAAAATGTAATAGGGTCCATTACATTTTCTGATGCATTTACTTTTGTTCTTACCTTAGCTGAGTTGAGCCTTAACAAATAAGAGCCTTTGTTCCTGTAATCAAAAGGGCTTGACCAAGTAGTCAGTGATGGCTCATCAAAAACATCAACTAATATTTTACCATTATTGATTTGTGGCCAAAAAGACACAAACTACATAAATACATATAAACAGGGATCATATTGATTGATTTGGCTAACCTCTTTTGGCTTTAATTTGATTGTGTCACTCACTGGCCGATCATACTCCAATACGGTTATAGTATCCTATTTATAGCAGTTAGCATCAATCAAGATAAATACAGCATACACTTATACATACACATGTATTTTATGCTGCAAAGAAAGTCAAAGTTTATAACCTAGCTTTTAAAACTAATTTTATAAATGTTACAACAACTTTCTTAATAAATAGTTATTACTGTTAGTTTCTTTTTGTAGTAAATAATTAATGCTGCTTACTTCAGTTTTGTTGTGTATCATATAGAATGGAGTTAGAGTGATGACCTTTGTGAATGAGAAAGTAGCCATTTTACAAGTGAACCCCATCTACATAGAGTATAAAGGAAGAAAGCACAATACAATTAGCAAGTGAGTAGTTCAGTGCCCATACCAGTACCTGATAAACTTTATTATCAGTAGAGGAGCTGACAATCCCTTCACTCCCAACAGTATCTAATGAGAAGTTGCTAGACCAGTCACTCCATGATCCATTTTTAGTCTTTACTCTTACAGACACCTGTAAGGAAAAGAGATCAATAGTTACAAGCTGCTCATTGAATGCATAACAATGATTCCCTTTCTCTAAATCCCCATAGTACAATTGGGAATGATATCATACCTATATACGAACAACAACTTTTATTCACTACTAAAACCTGAATTTGTGAAGGCCCACAAAAACCCACCATTATTATGAACTT